AGGCCTCCCAGCCATGCTTCCTATACACCCTGCAGAACTGTGAGTCAATTAAACCTTTTTTAAAATAAATTACCCAGTCACAGGTAGCTCTTTACAGCAATGCAAGAATGGAATAATACATACCCCCACCTAAAACCACCATGAAATCAACTTGAAGACAGTGTCTGCACCCCAAAGAATCAGACAAAAAAAAAAGCCAGGCGCAGTGGCTCACGCCTGTAATCCCAGAATTTTGGGAGGCCGAGGCAGGTGGATCATGAAGTCAGGAGATGGAGACTATCCTGGCTAACACAGTGAAACCCCACCTCTACTAAAAATACAAAACAATTAGCTGGGCGTGGTCATGGGCACGTGTAGTCCCAGCTACTCAGGAGGCTGAAGCAGAAGAACGGGGTGAGCCCAGGAGGCAGAGCTTGCAGTAAGTCGAGATCGCACCACTGCACTCCAGGCTGGGTGACAGAGCAAGACTCTATCTCAAAAAAAAAAAAAAAAAAAAGAAGAAAGGTTAGATTATTCTGAAAAAGTGGATTATTTGCTATTTTTCTGTTCAATTTTTGGGTCCTGGTAATAGTCTTACATGTTTCAAAAAAGTCTGGACAAGAATATTTTGAATAATCCAGAGCAGAAACCAAAAGAAATGCATATATTTTAATCACTGATTACTCTTTACCTGAATGGCATGTGTTTTTGTTTGTGTTTTTCCTGAAAGTGGAGTTTAATATTTGGTCTTATTTTTAGTTTGCTGGTTTTGCTGATAATGGAAATACCCCAGTACCAATTTACTGCTTGCTCCAAAAAAAAAAAGAAAAAAGAAAAAAAATTAACAAACAAAATGAACTGGCATCAATGTAGAATTAAATAAGGAAAGGACAGGGGCGCCCAAGGTGAAGTAATAAAAGCAACAACTACCTACAACTCTGTTCTTTTGGGTGTGAATACCTGAACGGCGATACCATTAAGAAAATCCCTCTGTCCCTTAGAACAGTGTTTCTCAAAGACTGGTCCTAAGACCCCTGCCTGGCTCACCTCCAGTTCTCTGAGGCAAGTCTTGGTGGTGGTGGGTGTGGACTTTCTCCCAGGGCACTCCCAGGGAGAATCTGTTCCCAGCAACCTCTCCAGGTGATTCCTGTGCACAGTAAAACCTGAGAACCTCGGCAGCTGACAGTTAACTACATAACTGACCTTCGAGTTGGAAGGGAACACCCCTGCTTCAGACTCAAGGAAAAAACTTAAAAAGCAGCCTTTGTTTCCTGAAAAACACACCAGTGGGCTTGTCTCACAGAATACCAACAGCCACTGCAGCCAGGCACATGCCTGAGAGCTGGGGAAAATAGTTGGCTCTGGGGACACCACCTCCTTTGCCAAGTCCCCCAGGCGAGGATAACATATCCTTGTCTCACACCATATTTCTGTGTCACTAGGCGGGGACAATGGTGGGATGAGACACTTAGCCCAGTCCCATGTAAAATGACAGAGGGACACCTAAGAACTCTACCTTTTGAAAGTCAGATGTCCTGGGATGAGAATGTGCCCAGCTCAAATACAGGGGGCCGAGGGGAGAAAGTCCCCGCCCACCACCTGCAGGATGAAGGCCAACCTGCCGGGAGGCTGGATGCACGGCATGCAATGACTTCCCCAGCCCAGGTGGCTCAGACACAGCCATTCTCTCAAGATGCAGATGCAGCCGAAAGCATCTTCCTTCTGGGACACGGGCCTTAACGATGGACAGTTAAAGAGCTTTTCTTGTCCCCTCTCTTTCCTAATAAGAGGCAAAGCCATCAGGAAAATCAACTTGATAAACGTGGCCTAGAGCTGGCTGTCCCACACAGCTGGGACGAACAGAGACAGAGCACTAGAGACTGTCCTCGAAAACTCAGATCGATCTATATGGTGGCAAACCACTGCAGGGCTCAGACAAGGCCTGAGGGAGAAACAGAACACTGAGCCAACTTAGAAATGAAGCCTCATTTCAGGCAGAAGAGCGGCTGCCTTTCCTGCTGACCGTATCCTTGGAACCAGGGATGGACATAGGCAGGCTGACGCGAGGGCCTGAAGGTGACCACAGAAAGGAGGAAGAGGCTTTCCTGCTCAGAATTTTAGGCAATGGTGATTTCAGGGGTGAAAAGAGGATGCTATCACAACTAAGTGGAGGGTCCTTCAGAGGGATGTGGGGATACAGGGGCCAGATGTGACCGTGCCTGTCACGAAGTGGGGAGAAGCGGGCTCCTGACGGCCCAGGAACGGCCAGCAAACCAGCCTGCCACACCCACCAGAGGTGTCCAAAAGGCCTGATCTCACCCACAGAGTGGGGCAGGAGAGGATCGCCGTAAGTACAGGTGAAGGAGTCAGCCCTCCCCAGCCCTCACAGGCAAACTCCTACTGCCGCCGCAGGCTTCCAGAGCTAGGATCCCCGATTTTGCGGCCTGTCTCCTCAGCACTAGGGGCACCAGCACCAGGCAGGAAAGCAAAGAAAAACTGCAGAGTCCAAGGGGATGGGCAGGGAGGGCTCCAGGAAGTGTCCCGTGGGCACCAGAAGGCAAGATGACAAGGGGGTCTTAAGAATCCCCAATTCAGCTTACTTGATTCACCAAGTTTTGCTCTAAGGATGTGCTGCCTTTTAAACAGAGTTTGTTGAAGTCTTTTACAAGTTGCCATGCTAGCTTTTAGTAAATTTTAATAACACTGGTATGTGTTCATGAAGCAGCAATTCAGATGAACTAAATAAAAGCCCTAGCAGCCAAGTCAGGGGCTCTTCACCCTGAATTCAGGCCAAGAACTAGAAAGAGCCAGCCTTTGGCATGCTGAATTTACCAACCTAAATATGAAGTGGCACAACGGCCTCCCGTGTGGGGTAACGGAGAGCCAGCACAGCACCAGCTAGCCCCCAGTGGGGCTGGTACCCGGGACGGCCACCAGAGCTGGCTTTCAGAGGCCCAGGCACTCTCTACAGAGAACATATGCTGTCGGTACCAGGCACCCAAACCTCCAGATTCACTCAACCATTGCCCATCTTTCTCCTCTGGACACAAGGAGGTGCCCACCTTCCTTGGGGGCTCCTGCCCTGGGCTTACTTCTCCCTGCCATTGGCTCTGGGGCCAGTGGGGCAGAGAGTGGATAGCATGGTCAGGAGGAGGGAGTGGAGAGGAAGTGGAGGGGCAGCAGTAGACCTGTCTGTCCACACAGGGCCTGGTGGTAAAAGCACAGGCCAGCAGAGACCTTTCCTGCACATAGGAAATGAGTAGGAAAGGAATCCACAGGGCAGGGCAGAGAAGAGGCTTGCAGAGAGCTGCTCTAACTCAGGAAATGTCTCCTAAAGGGAAGAGGGAAGACAGCAACAGCATAGGTGGAGAGGCCTCAAAACCTCCTGTGTGACTCAGGATTAGGATGAAAGGAGACGGGGTGGAAGGTGGGAGGGCATCTGGGGACCCGAGCAGAGGGGCTGTTGCTCTCCCAGGGAAGGAGGGCCTGGTGCCCAGCAGGCTGAGGGAGGGGCTGGGAGGAGACTTGCAACAGCTCTGCCTGCAGCCAGGCTGGGGGCCCAGACAGGGAGCAAGAAGGGGAAGCTGGCCCAGGTCAGCCCCAGGAATGGGTGACAGGTCAGCTGTGTCGACACGGCACTGGGGCATGTTCCAGCCTTCTCTCTGTGGCCTTGAAAGGTGCACGGAGAAAGCACACCCGCCAGCGAGTGTGGGGCAGGAGGTCTCAGCAGGATGGCCTCCGGGGACCCTGGTTTTCCTGCCTACATGGCATGCTCTTAAATGTGCATCCGTCCCATCTTCTCATGGGAGTTTCAGTTTTCTTGCTTGTGACTTCTATCTCTATTGGACTGTTCGGCACCACCCCAAACACATGCCCAGGCTGGTTCCACAGAGCAGGGTCTTGCGTTCCATCCCTGCTGCCTCCCTGCTGCACACCTGCCATGGCCAGCCACAGAGTGACACACCTAAGCCATGTTACAGCCGTGTTACCCCCCAGCCGCCCACGAGGCTGATGAGAGGATTTCTCCCACTTCATGGGTTAGGAAATGAAGGCATGGAGAAATCAGGCAATTAGGAGAGGAGGGACCAGGTTCACTCTGGCCTTTCCTGACTCCAAAGCCAGCACTCCCATCTCAGCTCCGTGTCGGCAGCAGTTCCAATCCTGACTGCATACAGGGGTCCCTGAAAAGCTTCCAGATACCCCAGGATGGCAAGGGCCCTGTCTACATCCCTATACCTAGCACTGTGCCTGGCACATGTTAGAAGTGAAATCAAAGCTTGTTGAATGACTGCATGTGTGAGCCCATGACTGAACACACTTCCCTGCCACAGACACTATCATTCCTCCATCATCCTGACCCAAGCCTGGAGTCACCTCACCACCGGAGCCAGCCAGCTGGCACCAGACTAGTCTCTTCCCTCCTCCAGCCCTTCTGCACATGGATAGACAAGGAACCTTCTCAGAACATCCTTTTCACCCCATTACCTTATGTTGTTCAAGGTTTCCAGGACTTGCTCTGGGTTTGAGGACACAGTTGAAATTCCTTGATCTGACATTTAAGACCCCCAGTGACTTGGTTCCAACCCGTCCTTTCACTCACATCTCCCACCACTCACAAACTGTTCTGGCCAGGCGGGTGTCCTTCTTGTCTCCTGTAAATTCCTACTAGTGTGACTATGGACTGTGGATGGCACGTCCCTCTCTCTCCATCACCTGCCTGGATCCTACCCATCCGGGAGGACGGAACTCCTCTGCTTCGCCTCTGCTCTGCACCCCAGGTCCCAGGGAGCCCTTCCAAAACTGAACACCTATCCCATGGATCTTACCTGGCTCCATTCTAATGTGACTTCTAATTGACACTGCAATGTGCACATGTCCTAATTTCCTAAGTACATTAAGATCACTTGAAGGCAAGAACTGTAGACATATAATTTTATCTCACCACAGTGACTAAGGCTGCACATTTTCTGTGAGTGCCACTGGGCATTCAGCAGCTCCTGTCTCCGTGTGGACAGTCTTACCTGTAATATCTAGACTGCAAGTAGGTGGAGCACACAGCCTTGGACACGTGGCTGGCTGAACCAAAGTCGATGACCTTGACTCTGTATGGTTGTCTAGATGGATCCACCAGCATGATGTTCTCTGGTTTGAGGTCAGCATGGATAAGACCTAGGCTTTTGAGTTTCATCAGGGCTGTGGCTACCTGCTGGAGAACTGGGCGAATGTATTTGAGGGGCAAGGGGCTAAACTTGTTTTGCTTCAGAAAGTCATAGAGGTTCTGCTCCAACATCTCGAAGACCAAGCACGTGTGGTTCTTGTGCTGGAAGCATTCGTAGGCCCGGACGAAGTTATAGTCATCGGCACTCTCCGTGCTCAACCGGGCCAGGATGCTCACTTCAATCTGACCTTGTCGGGCATAGGACGGGTGGTTCTTCAGGATCTTGATGGCTACAATCTCATTGGTGCCCCGTTTCCAGCACTTGACCACTTGCCCAAATGTCCCTCGGCCCAAGAACTCTAAGACCTCGTAAGTGTTGGTCATGGAGCACAGCACCTCATGCTGCACCAGCTGATAGTCGCCCTCGCTGTTGGAGCCACTGTTTTTGGAGGTGGCAGTCGACGTGGTGGCAGTGGCGACAGTGGCCCCGCTGGCATTATTCTGAATCATGGGTGGGTGCTCCTCGATGATCTGCACGCTGCTTGTGTTCTCGATCTCCTCGCTCTTACGCTTGAGGCCACATTTTTGGTAGGTATCAAGGAGGCTCACAGTGCTTCGACGCATTAGGTTGTGTGGTCCGCCGAGGACTTGCCCGGTGACAGAAGTGCTGCTTGCTGAGGTGACCACGATGTGCCCGGTGCTTCCTGGGAAGATGATGGTCTGCTCGTAAGGTAGGCTTGGGTTTGGGACCGGCAAGGAGGTGCTGACGGTTGTGGTGGCTGGCTGCGACGGGGGAATGTTCTTGCTCTGGCTATACACTTTGCTGTGGGAGCCGTACCCAGTCATGTCCCAGTTGGAACTCGGCTCTATTTTCAGTTTCTTCACACTACAGAAGGCACTTGATTGAAGGGTGTGAGGGGAGAAAACTTGCACATGTGAGGCCATACCTACAAGGAAAGGAAAACGAAAAGTAAGTATTGGATTCAGCTTGGTATAAGTAAACTCAACAGATCCCCTTCAGTTCTCATCTTGGTTTGGGCCACACAGAATGTTTCCTTCCCACTTGAAAACAAGGTTGAAAAAGTCAATCTATTCCACCCAGAAGCACATTCTGGTCACTGAGTTTGTGGAACCAAGTGGTTCCAGGGTGCCACCTGCCACCATTAGGTGCCAGCAACACAGTTGAGACTCAGAAACAGAATTCCAATATCAGGACATAAGTCATCATTTTTTAAAATAAACATTATTTGTGACAGAAATGGATTCTTCTTCAGTTCTCCCTGGGTTGCTTCCTACTGAAACTCAGGAGGCTATGCTAACTGTCACATACTTCGTTGTCCACGTAATCAGCTCAGCCTTGTGGACAGACCCTGTCAGGTTCACTGGTTTGAGGAAACATCTTCCCAAACAGGCCCCAACACCAGGCCACTCAGGATCTTCTGGATCCTGGATGAACCCCAATTCTAATTACCACCTGGCATCTTTGTCACCGTAAATGAATTCTGTAGGGTTGAGTGGATCAGCAGTTGGTCTGATATTTTTCATTTCAACAGCGTAAAACATTTTATTAGCCTTACTGGTGGGGACTGGGTAGCACAATTTGTGGCACAATTCACTCACTTTTCCTGCTAAATTCATATATCAATACATTTCTCTAGAAAGTACTATTTTTTGTTGTTGTTGATGTTGTTGTTTTTTGAGACTGAGTCTCGCTCTTGTTATCCAGGCTGCAGTGCAAGGGCATGATCTCGGCTCACTGTCACCTCCGCCTCCCAGGTTTCAAGTCATTCTCCTGTCTCAGCCTCCCAAGGCTGGGATTATAGGCTCGTGCCACCACGCCTGACCAATTTTTGAATTTTTAGTAGGGATGGGGTTTTACCATGTTGGCCAGGCTGGTCTCAAATTCCTGACCTCGGGTGACCAACCTGCCTCAGCCTCCCAAAGTGCTGGGATTACAGACGTGAGCCACCATGTCTGACCAAAAGTACTATTATTTCATACCAACATCTCATCCACAATTTAGATAAACTTAGAAACCTATAAGACCATTATTCTGGAACACTTGTACAAATTATGGTGACACTGAAACAAAAATTCATGGAAAATGTATTAAGCAAAAATAATAAGGTGATGAAGAAGGATAACTCCTTAAAAGTTAAAAGAGTAACAAACATTGCCCATCTTCTAAGCCACAGTCAACAAACATTTCTCACAGAAGCCACAAGGAAGTGGAGCGTCTGCAAGCCCTGCTGGTGGTTGGCTAACCTAGTGTTCCTGTCTCTCTGAGCCCCTGGCATTACCTAGAGTGGTTATTTAACATGCTTTCCACTCCATCAACCATCACCCTAGCCCGCATTCTCTCTCAGTAGATGACCCAACTTCCACTTTGTCCAGAAGCCTGAGGTCAGCCTTACTTTCCTCCTTTATTTCCTTCTTCATTTCAGAACATTCCTGAATCTACATCATCCTCCATCCTTCATTCCTTCTCTCCAGTCTGAGAGAAAGAGGTGTTGCTTTTTTCCAATACTAAAAAAGTTCCCGATTCTCATGATCCATATTTGTCCCATTTTCTCTTGAACCTGCTTCCACCACTGTTCTTTCTCTCGTAGCTTTCTACTTCTCCCTGCACTTAATTGGATCCAAGTACTCAGTAGGAACTTAATATGGCTGGCCAAATGAATCAATCACCTCATCTTTTTCTTCTGCCTTCATGCGTGTGCACACACAAAAGCCCAATGTGGAAGGCAAAAGGAGTAACAGCCACATTTCCCCCTCTTAATTCTTTCCCTCCTCTCACCTGTGATCAATGGTTTATGCTCCCTTTTCTTCAATGCCCACATCTTAATCCATCTCCCCCCACTCGTTAATGCACTATAGACTCGTGTTCTTGAAGGTAAATGACTTCCTAATTGCCTAATCCAATGGCCTTGTTTCAGCCCGTTCTTCTTAACCTCTGCAACATCTGATACTGCTGACCACAACTTCCTTCTTGATGCTGTTATCTGGACTTCAGTGAATCTGTAACCTCCCCCTCCCGTGTCTGATTGCACATTGTGTGCTCGGGTGGTTCCTCTTTCTCCATTACTATTATTTTTTTGGGACAGAGTCTTGCTGTTGCCCAGACTGGAGTGCAGTGGTGCTACCTCGGCTCACTGCAACCTCTGCCTCCCAAGCAGCTGGGACTACAGGTGTGCACTACCACACCCAGCTAATTTTTATATTTTTAGTAGAGACAGGTTTCACATTGGCCAGGCTGGCCTCAAACTCCTGACCTCAAGTGATCCGCTTGCCTCGGCCTCCCAAAGTGCTGGGATTACAGGTGTGAGCCACCGCACCCAGCCCTCTTCCTCCTTTCAAATGTTGGCATTTCCACCGTTTTGACTGTTCTCTCTGGCAGTTATCATCCATTCAAGCAGTTTAAGCCGTCACCCTCTGTGTAGGTGACCCCCACATGTTTATCACAGGCTGGGCTCTCCCTCAGAGGTTACAGTGATATATTGCTACCTCCTGCTACAATGTCAAAGATGCGCTTCCAAAGTTGAACCCCTTATTTTTTCCTAAAAATCTCACCCTCCATCCTAACATCTCCATGACTGTTCATAAAATATTTTTCTAGTCACTTGGCTCCAAAACCATGAACTATGATGGTTCTTCTTTACGTTCATAGACAAGAAGGTGCTAAGCCTTATTAATTTCTCCTTCCTTCAAAACATCTCTTGCATCCAATTCTTTATTTCTGCTGTTGCTGCCACTTCCATAGTGAATGCATTTATCACTTTCTAGTAGGACTAAAGCAAATCCAGACATCTCATCTACCTGAGCACTCCGTCTCCCTTTAATTTGCCTATATTTGGCCACCAGATTCATCTTTCTAAAACATCTCTGAGCATGCCACTTCCCTCTCCAAACTTCCAGTGGCTACCTAGTGTCAAGGAGATAAAGCTGAGAACTCCACACCTTTACGTGTTGATTCCAACAATCTTGTTAGCTCCAGCTCTACCAACCTTCCTGGGTGCTCAACTTGAATGAAGCTGGTCTATTCGCCGTTTCTAGATTGTCTCTTACACTTCCTACCTTCACACTCTTACACTGCTCCTCTATCTGGCATGCCTTTGCTGCTTTTCTCAACTTATCCAAAGACCAGCCAGCTTAGATTCCTTCTCTTTCCAGACCACTCTAACCCAGTGATCATTCCCAACTCTCTGTTCCTACAGCACTTACCATATGCACCATCTGACTTCAGCCCTGACTTCCTAGGGGCAATTCTGCTAACACCCAGCACCTGCTCGGAGCCCCACCTCCACCCTGGGCCCATGGATCTGCTGAAGGTTGTTTCCTTCTTGCTTCAATCCTGAACTCCGACCTCCACCTACACACTGTGACTGCACATCTGTAGGAATCCTCTTGCCTGACAGGACTATTCTGGCTTGCTTATTCAGAATTCGTACTTCACCCATTTCTTCCCACTGTTCTTTTTGTTCAATTCAACATCCCCCTTATTCAAGAACAACACAGAATATGGCTGTTCCCTATTTATCAGTATCAAGTGAATATCCATATTATTCTAGATGTTGTATAAAACATGGAAATGACCAATTAACTTGGCTTTCAGTAACTTAGCCGCTGAAGAGACAAAGCAAAACAGCCATTTCCTTCATCCTTTCATGTCTAGCCTGCTGCTGATTTTTCAGTCTTGAAGTACCTGGAAGGGGGTGGTCAGAGAAGGCAACAGCAGAAATATGCTGTTCATACATAAAGAAGGTGTTTTCACTGCTTCAAAAAGATCTTGGTGGAAAGGCTGTCCAGGGTGCAGAAGTGGAATTTTACAGAGGGGAAGAGGGTGGCTTATGACTTATTTGTTATTGGCATGACAGCCAAGGGTCATAAAATTGTGGAAATCATCACTGGCTGCCTCTGGTGACAGATGCCCAGGATCAGAGAGGAGGCCTGCATGGCTGGAAACACCCTGCACCACGGCCAGCTGCCTCAGACTCCAGCCCGGCCTGGTGTGGCCCCTGCTGCCCCTTTATGAGGTCAACAGCCACTATTCCAACGACTGGACCCAACGGCCAGTGCAGACGTGTTACCTTTGTTCTGTAGCAGAGGCCACTTTGCTTCAGGCAGCAAAATGCTCAAACAAGATATAGTTAAAGAAAGTCTTTAACAGTAATACTTTTTTAAATCCCTGAAATATCTTCATAAGGAATAAGACACTGTTGGTGGTTTTGTAGCTTAATCTTAAAATAATCTTATGGCAACACACTTATTTCCAAACATTTCTCCTTGAGAGCATTTCTCTGGAACAAACCTTCCTTCCCGATTAGTTTAGCTCTCAGAGAGTTGAGCCCACAACATTTACTTCTCTGTTTATTCAGATCTTAAAGTGGGGGACAATAAAGTGGAGGTACAGAGGGGGACTCGATGTTTTTTTCCACTTGAAAGCAAGAGCTAAATGTCTCCTCTCGTTTCTTTCTGTACTGACCTCTGGACTAGTCAAGGCTACTTCCCGCCTCATTTGTCAATACCCTTTTCAGGAAAAACAGAGGCTTAATGCACATTGTCAGTTTGATCCAATGGCAAGGTCTCAATCACTTTTTAAGTCATCTCTGCACTTCCTGGTTGGCTCTTGAAAGAGAAGGCGGACTTTACTCCTCCTAGGTGAGAGACCACGGAGGCTACTGTACTTGGGAGGGCAGGTTTTCAGCCCATGGGGAGCATGCCCAGAGGAACCCAGGAGGTTACGGTAGGATAAATCTGCCATAACCACACCTGCTCCTAGAGGGGTGACCTGACCCAGACTTTTCCAAAAAAGCCTTGGAGGTCTCCCAAGATAAAATCTGTCAAAATGGCCACATTTTCATTCACTAAAGGACAGGGAGTCACCATAACCTAGAACTAAAGCTTTCAACAAGTAGCGTGCCTATTACCATACTACTCTGTCTCATAA